ATATTTAATTTTTTATACGAGAAACAAAAATGTTGAAAATAGGCCGCCTTTTACCCGAGGAATCCCATGTAAATCCCTTAAGAGACTAAGGAAGTTGTTTTTCACTTTCTTTGTGAACGCCCTGCTTTAACACAAACCAGAAACAGCATGATGGTTTAGCCCCTACATCCTTTTATTACAGAAATTTTTGCCAGCATTTTCTGTTTTAGCCACAAAAAATTTTGAAGAAACATCCTTTAACATCACAGTCGCAAAATGGCTCTAAGCCAGTGTAATTTGTCATAATATATACTATATATTTAAATATGTGTTCAGTTTGACAGCTTACGAGACTAAAATCTCCTCCTCACCTTAAACCAGCACCCTTTATAGGTGTCTATATACCTAAGTATATATTTGAGCGGGTCATTCTGAACGATTTTTTCCGAGAGGCTATGTATATTTTAAATTTCAGTCGGATATCTCAAAAACGAACGAAGAAATTTTTATAAACCGTAAAAATTRAACTTAACTTCAAAAATCTCTGACTCGATACCGGTTTTAGTCTCTTAAGCAAGACTGTTCAGAATGAATCCTACTATAATTCCCACAAACTCATTTCTTTTGTTTTTCTTTTGCCTCCCTATAAAGCAATCCGCTTTAGTACGCATAACCTACGTATAACCTTTCCAGTTCAAGTTGCTCAGAGTAGTCATAGAAACCATACAAACTACGTCCAGGACGGACATCAACATCAACTGATGATCAACATATCAATAAAAAGTAAAGGAACTGGTGCTTGAAAATCGACGATTAACAGTAAGAGATCTTGCTGGTATCGTTGGAGTATCGGAAGGATCAGTGGAACCATTTAAAAAAATAATTTGGGTCTAAGCGCGATTGGTTCCAAAATGTGAAACAATGCTTTCCGACTACCAGAATATCATTGAACGTATTATTGCTATGARTTTTGRATCTWTGCTTACGACCCGGAAACAGACAATCAATCGGCCGAATATCGTGGGAAAGGTCAGCTGAAGCCAACAAACCTTGGTCTAAACAAGTTTCGTTTGTGGATGAAATGAAGGTTATGTTGACAGTTTTCTTCAATTATCAAGATGTGGCGCACTCCAAATTCCTTCTATAAGTCTGCTTAAGGAAAACAGTTTTGGCCTTTTAACATATAAAAATCTCAGCAAATTTTCGTAAGCCGTAGTCTGCATATATACGTTAATATTTAGAACATAAATTGTAAAGAAAGTTGGTCAAATTTTCAGTGTCAATTCTTTTATTGCAATTTGCAAATTTACCATCGTATTTCACCTGCACTCCGAACGTTTTCTGCTTTAGTAATTAACTTAATTCAAGAGCGTTAAGTGCTCCTTCAATTTATATGACAATTTTTAATGGCATGCCTATGGAAGTGAGAGACTTAGCTCTAATTGCATTGTCAAAGTTTAACTTTATGACCTCAGCACACTTTGGATGTCAGATTAGATATTTCAGCAAATGTWAAATAATTATCTAAACAAAACTTAAGAGCTTARAGACAGCTCATTCGCTAATGAATTWARAAAAAATTATTTGAAAGTGTTTGACTAACTTTATGATATTAGTAACTGATATAAATAACAGAAAGYCAACAGCAAGAGATACTCATATTTGATATGAGAGAACTAAATGAATGTATAAACTTGTTTATGCAATCTTTGTGGGTCAAAGTTGACACATGCCAAGAACAATGCAATACAAACTAAAAAATTATTTTAATCATTTCAGATTAATAATTATGAGTTACCGCCACATTTCTTTGATTTATTTCGATATCCACGTTTGATTCATCGAAAAGCTAATTTCAACTCAGCCTAATCCGTCAAGTTAAAAAACCAACCCACTTAAAGCAAACGAATTTTCCTTGAAGACATAAAAACCCAATTCAATTTACTTACGTAAAAATCAGCTTCAGCATTTTAWAGAGCATACCGCCACTAATATTTGAGTCTACATCCAAAGTTGCTGTACAATATGACTTCAACAAGCAGGCCCGTCCATCCAAGCCGTGTCTAAGCACACAAAAATATTCAAGTAAAATGGTATAATTCAATATTTATCCGAATATACAAACCCGTTTAGGACATCCTCGAGTGAGTGTAGCACATCGCGTTTAAAGTATTTACGGCGTGACTCATCGGGACCGGGAAAGGGAAAATTAACACGAAATCCATATCCATAAGCCCAAAGAGTATTGATTTTTAGGATATTGTTTTTGCCATTTGTGCGCCACTTGATATATGAAATTGTGAAAATAAAGCGAATAAACATTTATTAAACAAGTAAGGAAGGGCTAAGTTCGGGTGTCGCCGAACATTTTATACTCTCGCATCAAATACCGTATTTGTGTAAAGTTTTAT